ACAACCAGTCCCAAATCTACCTAACAGTTCTATCATTGAGCTTATATCTCTCCATACTGTCCACAATGATAACAGGAGTGATTTTTCAAATACTTTGCTGAAATTTAAGTATACTATTTAGACAGCATTCCCCTGATCTACCAATCTAATTATCTCATCAAGAAAATGAAACGAGGTTAGTCTGGCATGACCTGTTCTTGTTGAAGTCATGCTGGCTTTTAGTGGTTATTGCTTCTCTTTTTAAATGCTTATAAACTATTCTGTTTAATAATGTATTTCAGAATTTTACCAGGAGTAGAAGTCAAGCTGTTACTGTGCACAACGTTCTCCTGGTTCTGCTCACTTCACTCAGCATCAGTCCATGCAAGTCTTTCCAGGTTTTTCTGAAATTCACCTGCTCATCATTTCTTATAGCACAATAGAATTCCATTACATTCATATACCACAACTTCTTCAGCCATTCCCCAATCGATGGGCATCTTCTTAATTTCCAATTCTTAGCCACCACCAAAAGAGCTGCTATAAATATTTTTGTACATGCGGGTCCGTTTTCCATTAGTATGATCTCTTTGGGATACAGCCCTACCTTCTCCAGTTTTATAGGACCTTTCCTTTTTCCCACAGTTTTTGAAAGATCACCAACAATGCCTCTGTCAGTCAATAAACATTAATTAAGAACCTACTGTGTGCCACTATGCTAAACAATCACAGTTGCCAGTTCTTTCATTACTGTAGGTCATAATGACTCAAACTCATTGAAAACAGTTAGATGCTCTTTCTGCTTGACACTTTCTCATCACATCTTCACTTATTTTGTATTCCTACTCCTGTTTAATAATTTTTGTTTATGCTTCCCAGTCAAAGAATTGAATAGTTCAGTCTTCTCACCATCGTTAGTCATTATCATCCCATATGCTCCAAGTAGAAGCCTTATTCCTTCTATGATCTTCCTTTTGCACTCAGTGTAGTGAAAAAGATGCTGGTCTTAGAGTTAGTAAAGACTTGTGTCCAACTATCCCATTTACATTTACTAGCTAGGTGCAAGTCATTTTACCCATATTAGACTCAACTTCCTCATCTGTAAAATGAGGATAGTGATACCTATAGTACCTGCCCCACAGGGCTGTTTTGAGGATGAAATGAGAAAATGTGTAGAAAAAACTTTGTTAAATTTTAAATACTTTGTAAATATAACCTATTATTATGATAGCTAGAAGAAATTTGTCTGTTGTTATCATTTATCACCAGCCTTCTCTCATTCTGGACTTTGCACAGGACCATGGTAGTTTTCTGTATCCATCCATTCTCAATTACTTCCTCTTGTTTCCACCTTCCACATGACTCTTTTTAAGATCAGAATTGGTTGCTGTACTAATAATAATAATAATAATAATAATAACAAAAACCTTGGCCTCTTTATGTAGCTTCTTTTTTCTTCCCTCTTTATCAGAATAATTTGTGTTTGTCTTCAGAATTTTTTAAAGCTTCCCATCCCTCTTAGGCTAACTTCTTCTGCAAAATACTTTGGTTTGATTTGATTTGGATGCTAGCAAATGAATCATTGGTTCCAACTTCTGGTTTGTTCTGTTTTTTAGGCCCTGGTATGCATCATTCTAAAACTTCAATAAAGAGATCACTGTGGTATAAGAAAAGAGTTGAGGGGGAGTATTTAATATCAGCGATTTATGTTGCTGTCAGATTGTGAAATTGAAGTATTATTTTTAAAGGCAAGTCCGTTTATAACCTATATAAGCTGATCACTTGAAATAACCAGTTTTAAACCATTAAAAGTTACTGACGGTAGATTATAACCCAATTGAGACTCCTCAAATGACCCGATAAATTAAACTGGAAACAGAAAATGTTTCACAGCAACTGCTCATATCAGCTCAGCCAAGAAGATGATTAACTTAGGTATGGAACAAAGCAAGGTGTTCATTGTGATTGGCATTGAAAAATCACAAGCACTATATTTACTCACACAGACCCCTATTTCTCCCTGATTTATTTCTCTCTAAAATGGATGATGAAGAAATCATGTAAGCTCAGGCCTTCAAGAAGCAGGTTTGAAGCAGATTAAAAAAAAGTCTATGGGAAAATTATGCAGAGGAAACATTTTTCTTAACTTTCCTCTCAGAGTAGGTGTATAGGAAATACAAAAGAAGAAAGGGAATGGATAAAAGTAAATATGGTCTGCAAAATAAAAAAATTTAGTTGATGATAGATGCAAAAAATGTAATGACCACTAGCAAAGCCATTTACCATACAGTGGAAGCTCATTTACTTGGCTGCCTTGGATTATACCAGCAGATGTAATATTGTCATTAAGCAGAAAACCCAGCAATTCTCCCCTTTCAATGTCAACTAAGAAAGAACTTGATACCACACTATAAATATGAACTGAAAAATATTTCATAAAATAACTCCAATACGGAAAGTATTGAGATCAAGCTATATCTAGGAATGATTCTGAAGCAGAGGTAGTTCTCAAGTACGGCCCTTTAACTGAATCCAAACTCCACAGAACAAATCCCCTTAATAAAACGATTTGTTCTGCAAAACTTGGACCCAGTCAAAAGACTGCATCCAAGGACCTAGAAGGCCCCATGTGGCCTCTAGGCCACAGGTTCCCCACCCCTGCAGATAAACAAGTCATGAGTAAAACTTAAGCGTAATATGTGGAATTCATTTTGTACTTATATCTCAAGAGAATGAAAGACCTCACATAGTAGTTTATTTGTACCTTTATTACTATTTTAATACTGAATATTAAAGTTATATCTCCTATTTGGCTGTAAACAACTTAAGGGCAAGAGACCATGTCACAAATAAACTCTGCATTACTTCAAGAGTTAAGCATAGTGATCTGCACCAAATGGATGTTTAATAAACAACTTATTTGTACCATTTGACTTATTTAATGAATGAATGTAAATCTGATGCTAAACAAACAAGCTTCTAATGATAGTAGAGGGCCTGGAACAAATATGAACATAGAAATAAAATAAATAGAATGGTAGAGTGGATAGAGTGCTGATCCTGGTATCAGGAGACTCTGGTTTGAACTCTGCCTCAGCCACTTACAAGCTATGTGATCATGGGCAATGGTAACACTTTAGTGTCCTCATCTGTGAAATGGGGTTAGCAATTATTGGGCTCCCTACCTCCCAGAGTGGCCGTGAGGAAAAACTCTCCGTAAACCTTGAAGTGCTATAAAAACCAGAGTTGTTCTTATGTTGCTTTCACAAGTTGGAAAAGTTTCACAAAAACCAGTTGGACACCTTACAGATCTGTCCATCTATTATGTTTAGATTACAAGAGAGAGGGTGTAACAAGGAAACTTCTTTCACTCTCCCAACAAAGGAGCATATATATGTAAGCTACGTGGTTAAAAAGCCTCTACATCTAAAATTTGTTTATATCTATTCTAGTTTCCAATGTTAAATCGTACCTTGGTTTTACTATGCTTTTTACTTTTTCAAAGCAATTTTCATATTTATTTCATTTGATCCTCCCAACCACCTTGTGATATAAGTCCGACAGGTATTATTTCCATTTCAGTAATAACTTGGATTTATAGTGGCCTTTAAAAACCACAGAGTGTATTTCTCACAACAACCCTGTGAGATAGATAGTGAATGTGTGTGAAGAAGAGGGAAGAGTAACTTGCCCTGAATCATATAATTAGTAAGCATCAAGGTCAGAACTGAACATCTCACTTAATCCTCACAACAACCCGGCAAGGTAATAACAATAATTTGTTCAGTCGTATCCAACTTTTTACAACCTCATTTGGGGTTTTCTTGGCAAAGATACTGGAGTAGTTTGCCATTTCCTTCTCACTTTACAGATGAGGAAACTGAGGCAAGCAAGGTTAAGTGACTTGCCCAGGGTCATACAGCTAGTAAGCTGGATTTGAACCCAGGTCTTCCTGATTCCAGGCCCAGCACTCTATCCACTGTGCCATCTAGCTGCCTATAATAATAATAATTACCATTTATTTAGCGTTTATTAGGTGCCAGGCACCGTGCTAAGAGGTTTACAATTATCATCTCATTTGATCCTTCCAACAATCTCCGGAGGTAGGTGCTATTATTATCCCCATTTTACAGATGAAGAAACTGAGGCAGAAATGAAGTGACTTGCCCGGGGTCACCCACCCAGGAAGTGTCTGATACTGGATTTGAATTTGGGTCTTCCCATCTCCAAGCTGAAGTAAATTACCTCACAGAATAGTTGTGAAGAACGCATTTTAAAAGTTTTAAACGTGTTTTATGTGAACTCTTTAAAAAAAAAAAGTTTTTATCAATGTCTTGCTCGTAGTTTTCCACGGCATCTGTGCCGTCTCCCTCCCAGAACCATCCCCCTCACTTTAGGCATGAGGAAGCTGAAAGTGTGAGGGAAAACCGGAACGACCTACAGAAACCTTGGTACTTTTTGGCTTGCACCGACAAGGCGGAGGGGTAGGTCTGCAGTGACCCAGAGAGGCCCGAGGCTCACGTGGCAAGCTTGCTAAGGCAGAAGTGAACGGCTCAGTAGCAAGCACCAGCTGGAGGGGCCGCTAGATGTTAACTGCCTCCCGTCCTACACCGCTTCCGCTATTCTCCTCCCAGACCCTCACGCTACTAGAGCAGGGAAGGAGGAGCCGCGAAGGAGGGCGGCGGAGTTTGGGCAAGGGGCGGTGCTTCCCAGCAAAGCCGCGGTGGGCGGGGCGTTGCGTGTGTTGGGCGGTGTCCTCGTGAGGTCCCACCCCGGACCGGAGCGCACGGCTGCGCACGCCACGTCTCCTTAGCTAGGGCGTGCGGGCGAGAGGCGGAGGAAGTGAGGGGGTGGGGGAGAAGTGGGGGAAGGGAGCGAAGTACCCTCTCGCGATAAGTGGAGACAGCGGCGGCGGCGGCGTGTCCGTGAGTGAAGCGTGGGGGGCGGCGGCGGCGGCGGCGGCGGAGCAGCCCTAGCTGCGCCACACGAAGCCTGGGGGGCTGGGACCGGGACCGGCGCCGGGGCCGCGACCGCGCAGCGGGGTCGTGGCGGCGAGAAGGGGGAGGAGAAAGAGGAGGAGGAGGAGGAGGTCGCCATGGCCGGGCAGCAGTTCCAGTACGATGACAGCGGGAACACCTTCTTCTACTTCCTCACCTCCTTCGTCGGGCTGATCGTGATCCCGGCCACTTACTATCTGTGGCCTCGGGACCAGAACGCCGGTGAGTCCTACCCCGGCCCGGCCCGGCCTGACCCGGGACGGCCCCACTTCGCCGCACCTGGGCCCCGTCCTTCCCGCACGTCGGTCCTGCCCAACCCCTTCGTCCTCTCCGGGGCCCTGTGACACCCACTCACCTACCTACCCACCCACTCTGGCCGGCCAGGCCTGACCCAGCCCGGCCGGGCTCCAGGCCTCTGGCTCAGCCCAGCGGGCGTGTTTTCTTTTGGGTCTTCCCTCCCCCCTACCCCCTTACCATTGTCTTTCCAGAGGAATTTCGCTTTTCTTCCCTTATTGTTCCGGGCACTCGTGGAGCCTTCTCTTTGTTCTCTCTCCCTCCCCATTCTCTTATTTTTCCTCTCTACTTTTGGCTGGTTTATTAGTGGGGTTTGGATTTGGAGGGGGAATGGGATGTAAATTAGAAAGGTAAGAAAAGAGTTATTGATGCATAATCACAGCTTTTAACTCTCTCCGATCCCTTCATACCATCCCTAGAAACTCCCCCCCCCAAATATATCTGGTGCAGCTGTTCCAGATGTTTTGTGAACCTTCTGGGCTGGATGACATGTTTACTGCTCTAACTGTGCTGGCTTCCCTTTCACTAATCTCCCCCACCTTCGGAATTGATTTTTTTTCAATTTCATGCCTGTATTTTGTGTGCCTGAGCAGTTGGAGTTGGAAATTATGCCATTATTCTCATTCCAAGATCAAGGCTTTCCTGTTTATATGGAAAAAGTGAAAGCATGAAGGAGTTAGTCCCTTTAAAATACTGACCTTATTAGTGGTTGTGAGGGAGCTAGTCTTGTTAAGCCTAAGTCTTTCCAGGTAGATACAATTATTTAGACAGTCTCAGATGGGTGGTTTAGAAAAATTTGGGGATAATGGTTGAATTTCATTTGTGAATTATTCTAAAACACATGGCAAGTGAAGTAATCTATCAGAGGCCGCTAAACAACAAACAATATTCCGGGCCCAATAGGTTGTTTGTGGCATAGGTTGCAAGAAAAATTAGTGACTAGACGATTTTGTGCGTTAAAAATATTGAGGAAAAACTTTTCAACCAATAACTATGTTAACCTGTTTAAGCTCAAATTCTCTTGGGTCAGTGGGTGTTGCAAAAGTAAAATGCTGTCTAGGTTGCACACATTTCTTCGGGGAAAGTTGATGATAGTGGAGTTGTAATTCAGCTCAGAACTTGATGGGTTTGACAGTCTGGTTTGAACCATATAGAATTTTGCATGATATAATAGAACCAAATGCTAGTGAATGTGCTCATCTCTGTGTTAATTGATTGTAATAAGATTAGATACCTATATATTAAATGCAAAAACCTGCCTGGGGTTACTAATCTTAATGGTTTTCTGATGCAGTGGCTAACTTAGGAAAAATAGATTTGGGCTTATAATGTTTTTTTATACTGAGTGCATTCAAACCTGAGTTCTTTGGATAATGTTTTAATTGTATACTATTCATAAACTTAGGCCCATTGCAATGAAAGCATTCTCTTTGTGAATGCTTAATTTTATCACATTTTTAAAGATGTTGCATTTATATTTGAGTGTATTGGTTTTTTAAAAATTTGTGACCATTCTTATCTGTTCTGGTTAGGATCATGCACTGTTTTCAGAGGTCAGTAATCAGTCAGCATTTAGGTTTTTGTGGTTTCTATAGCATCCAGAAACTTGGTATTTGTCTGAAAGATTTATATGGTGGTTTTTAGTTTTGGTCACAAAGTTTGACCTCCATTTATCCTTATCAAGTGTACTCAAATTGATCAACCCTGCAGGTTAAGTGGTATTGGAAACAGCTGGAACTTTTGGCTGGTGAAGATTGGGCAGTCTAACTTCACAATAAATATTCTTTGCTCTTCTTACCTTACCTTTAAGTACTTCACTCATTCTCTGCTTGTGGGAATGTATTAGTGAAAATATGACCACTATCTGGACTTTGGCTTGTTTCATTATAGTGAAAATGAAGAAAGACAATTCCACATTTTATTATAATAGATGTTAAAATGTAGGAACAGCATTTCTTTCTACTTTCTTTAATAACTTCCATGTAGCTTAGACTGCCTTTATAATAATAACAGGCTGGTATGAAAAAGATGCTTCTCTGAACTTAGAAAGCACATTTTGAATTAATATTACTTTGAAGTTGGTGCATTGTGCTATCTTGAAGCATACGGTACTCAAATTTCACATGAAATTGCCATATGTAAGTTAAATGCAGCCTTTGACTAAACTTATTTTGATTTTTAGAACTGAATAAATTAAGTCTAAAAAAGAACAAAATAGCTTAAGAAATATTAACTGAAATGAATTTTAAAAGAGTTCAGCTGGAGATGTCTATTTTCCATGACCATCATCTGCATCAAAAAGCCAGTTCTGTAGGCAGTTATAGCCTTAAAAGTGAATATTAATAATCTTCAAAAAGATTTAGTTTTCTGTGTTATATGTAGTTCTTCCTCTCAAGGCTGCCATTATGGTCCTATCACTTTGATGTTTTGAAATCATAAGACTCTGGAGTGTATAAAACTCCTTAAGTACCATTCTCAGTTGACAGATTGGGATAGCTGAAGTTTGGAGAAGCTAAATGGCTTATCATTGGCAGGTCTGGCATGGTCATTTAAGTTACCTCGACTCTAAAAAGTCAATAATGAAATCCTTCTATCACATGGGTTTTTAACCTGGAGTTCATTTACTTTAAAAGAAATGTTTTGATAACTGTATTTTGGTATAGGTTTTCTGAGAAGAGATGCCAAAGGTGATCCATGATACCCAAAAGGTTAAAAAAAAATCTGATGTGCTCAATGCAACTGTAACGAATACACATTTGTGGTGAAAGAAAGGTTTTATTTATCTTCCTTTCTCAGAGTTACCTGCAAATTTGTTCAATAAAATGACTGGAGGCTTCATCAGAGAGTGAAATCTAAAGAAGTAGCCTGATTTATGTGATAATATGGAAGAGTGAAAAGTTTGCCAGACTCAGAAAGATGAATAACTTTAATAATGTTTATTTGTTAATTTTTGAGATTAAAGATCTTTGGTAAAGTATAGGGATTCCGGTAGTGTAGTATGTTGGAATTTTCCTTGAGTAAGGCTCTAAGTTCGGGAGACTACTGTGACGTTCTTAGAAGTTTTCATAAGTTCTTTTCAGAATTGAATTTAATCTGAGATTAATATTAGTTTATCATGATCATTTAATAGTAGCTTTTTGCTGTGTTTGTAAAATTGCACTACACTAAGAGCCTTATCTGTATGACATTTCCTAAACTGTTGAGTGTCACCTTAACTCAGCATCATCTAATGTTTCTGACATTCTCCAAACTTTTATGCTTTGGCTTTTTATGGATGTTGGTAATGTAATTTAACATTGTCTTCAGAAATATGTTAAAATATCTATTGCCTTTAAAATAAGATGTGTATTTTAATGCTATGCCATGCGAATTTGATCATCATACATATTTGCATTCAACTCTTACAGTTAAGAGAGGGTATAGCTTTCCAAATATTATTTACTTTTAGATTATTTACCTAGAGTAAAGTGTAAAATATCTGGGTATGGATTTTGTAACAGATTTCAAGGACATATTTTTTTATTCTTCCCCTAGGTTAAGGGTTACAACAGATATTTGGAATACATATAAAATACTACTTAACCAGTTTCAAAGTTGTTAGACTCTGTGGAACATATTATTTTTCCCTTACTACTTTCTTCTAGTTAGGTAGCCATCTATTCTGAGTAAAATTCAGTTATATTTTCTTCTCATCAATATGAGAATTGTTAACATAAGTGACTTCATAATTTAATTTCTTTCTTACTTCCTCCTGTCAGCAATGTGGATGAGCACTACCTTTGACCTTGGAACTTGAGTGAGATTCTTAACATAAAATCAGCTCTTTTGAGACTATTGTAGTTTTGATGATCTATACCCTTTTTTCTATCTTTTGGAATGTGCTCACAGCTTGTGTGTCATTTATAGACACTCTGGTGGAATACTCTGATTGTAAGTCCTAGTTCCTTCCCTAACTAGCAGTGTGACCTTGGGCAAGTCACTTAAATTCTCTTGGTTTTCTCAGTTTTAGTACTTGCATTACCTACCTCACAGGATTGTTGTGAGGAAAGCACCTTTAAACTGTAAAATGCTATATAAATGTGGATTATTATTATATTGCCAGGGTATGGACCAGAGAGGGAAAAGAAGATGAGAATCACCACAACAGATTGTTGGAAGGGAGAGCTGAAGCAAGCTATTGGCTATAATGAAGTCTTAGTCTTATCTGTGGGTTTTGCTATTTCTGATCGAGAATGGACTGTGTTAATCCCTTATTGAGGCAGGTATATGTTTAATTTTTCTTTTATTAGTAAACTGGTTTATGGAGTTTTACATGTCATAAAAAGTAGCTGATATAAGACTTTGCTTTAAAAAGCGCATATTGTGAATATATGATAGTATTATGGAATTTTAGCACTGGAAAGGACCCTAGAAATCATCTAGTACAACCCTCTAGTTTTACAGATGAGGAAACTGAAGCCTATAGTGAGTAGTTCCCCAGATAGGTCATTGGTTTGGAGCTGTAAGAAACCCTAGAAGTTATTTAGTCCAACACCTTCATTTTGTGAATGAATAAACTGAGGCCTCAGAAGGTTAACTGTCTTGTCTAAGGTCACTAAGGCTAGTAAGCAACAGAACTGAGATTGGAACAATGTATCAAAACAGGCAAAAAGCTAATGCAGTCTTAGGTTTAGTGAATAGAAGCATAAAAGAGGCAATAGTGCACTATACTGACTCTTGTCAGACCACATTTGGGGTATTACTTAGTTCATTTTGAGGGGCTCCTTGAAGAGAATGGTCCAGGATGTTGGGTCTTGAAACTATGCTATACTAAGTTGAGTGTTTAATGGAAATGGGAGGCTCATTGGAGATGTGTTAGCTGTCCTCCCTTTCAGAGGCGTTTCATGTGGAAGGGCCTACATGTATTTTGCTTTGCCCAAAGGGCTGTT